ATAAATATATATATTTGGTACCAGGAATCAAACTCAGGACCTTATGCTTGCCAGGCAGGCACTTGTGCCACTGAGCTATATTCTCGGCCCTCCACATATTTTTTTCATGTAGTTAAAGGCCCTTGTAACCTCCTTTCTTCCTGAAAGTAAACCCTTGTCTAACTTTAGCATTAAGTCACAATTTGTTTACTTTTGTATAAAAGTATGTATGTTTTCTTTTTTTCCTTTTGTTCTTTTGAAGCAGGTTCTTGCTTTGTAGGGTGAGCTGGCCTTGAACTCACTATGTAACTCAGGTTGGCCTTGAACACCTGGCGATCCTCCTGCCTCAGCCTCCTGAGTGCTGGGATTACAGGCATGTAACACCATGCCAGGCTTGCATTGTTTTCTTATTGATCCTCAAACTAAGACTCAGAATTCAATGAAGAATGAAGCATGTCTCACTCACTGTTTTGCATCAGTTCCTTATACTGTGTCTGATGCAGAGTAGATATTATATTAAATTAATATTTACTGAATAAAAATGATGATTAACCTGAGTCTTAATAGGTAAGTATTATTTTTCGAGTTGTTAAGGGCTAGGGAAAAATAAATTGCAGAGAAATATGTGCAGAGAATAAAAAGCCTGTGCTGCTGGACATGGTGGTTGGCACCTGTGGTCCCAATTACTGGGGAGGTTGAAGTAGAAGCATTATTTGGGCCCTGGAGTTTGTTTGGAGGTTCTAGCAGGGGAGCGCAGCTACTCGTATACCCTTGACCAAGGAACAGTCCTCCTCTATCGGGGATGGTCGTCCTCTTTGACCAAGCGCGCAGCTTCGGGAGGGATGCACATGGAGCGTTGAAGGAGGAAGGGGACACCCGCCTAGCCCCCCAGATCAGCCGAATCAACCCTGGCAATCAATGGGTGACAGATGTCACAGCCAGATCGCCCTCACATCCTGGGCCCTGGAGTTTGATGTCAGCTGGTGCAACATCCCAAGACTCCATATCTTACCACAACACAACAGAACACAACAAAACAGTATGGTAAGAGAGACAGCTGTCGAGGAAGACAAGGCCAGTGCTGGGGAGGCTTTTGTGCTACAGTAAAGAATTTGAATTGCATAGATTTGTCTCTTCTAGGCATTGTGGTTTTTGGCCTTGAATGTCTTAGTGAACCCACACATATCTCTGGCCTCTATTTATGTAGTTATGAATTATATTAGTTCAGCCAACTCCTGTAGATTGACAAAAAGGTGGCTATTTTGCTGGACCTCCATATAAAAATGTAGGTACATGTGAATATTTTCTTTTTGGTACTGGGAATTGAACTCAGGACCTGATGCTTGCCAGATAGGCGCTGTGCCACTGAGCTAAACCCCTGGCTCAGAATATTAATTTTTAAAATAAATGAATTTATTTATTTACTTCTACATTGAGGCAGCGTCTTGCTATGTAGTTCAGGCTGGTCTTGAAATCCATTCTGTAGTCCAGGTTGGCCTCGAGGCCAGGGTGAACCTCTGGCTTCCGGAAGTCTCTGGAGGCTGGGAATATAGGCTTGTGCTGCCACGCCTGGCTGTGAATATTCATTTTAGCAGTGCTTTTGCTTGGTCTGTATTTACCAATTGCTTTTAAGAAGAGGTTGTTTAGTCTAATGGGTTTCCTAACTCCTCTCCCTCCCTTCGTCACACCTGTTTAATTGATCCCTTACTGCCACTAGCAGATACGTCTGTCCATCTTCCTCTGCTGTGCAGTACCTTCCGATAGCACACCCTCACTGTCTGCAGGGTAACACCCAGACCCCCAACTGGGGCCTCCAATCCCTTTAGGATCTTGCCCTTCATGACCTCATCTCTCATCTCTTCCTCTGTGTGCTGCACTGTACCCACGCTGAACCACTTGCAGGGACCAGGGAGTTTGGAGTTGCTGCGACTGCATTCATGTGTACATTGGTACTGCCTGGAGTGTCCCTCCACCCCTGCCTCCTTTCGGGATTTGTACTGACCTGTAGGAAGTAGTACCTAAATCACTGCTTCTAGGACGCATTTCCAACCTTGTGAGGCTACACAGATTGTCCTCCTTTGCAGCCTCATTAGACTGTGTTTGTGCTTCTGTTCTGGCCCCGGTCACACCGCACTGCATGTCTAGTTACCTCCCAGAGCGCCCCCTCTAGACAGTGGCCCCTTCACTGTGAGACTAAGTATCAGTAGACAGAGTCCCCTTGAGACGAAGGAAAGAATAAAATGAGGCCGTTCCGTTTCTGTTGAAGGGGAAGGACCCAGCCTCCTCATGTGGCTCTACCTGGCAGCCCTCGTGGGCCTGTACCACCTCGTGCGCTGGTACCGGGAGAGGCAGGTGGTGAGCCACCTCGAGGACAGGTATGTGTTCATCACGGGCTGTGACTCGGGCTTCGGGAACCTGCTGGCCAGACAGCTGGACATGCGAGGCTTGAGGGTGCTGGCGGCGTGTCTGATGGAAGAAGGGGCCGAGCAGCTGAGGAAGCGGACGTCAGCGCGGCTGGAGACAGTGACCCTGGACGTCACCCAGACGGAGAGCATTGCTGCAGCCGCCCAGTGGGTGAAGGAGCGCGTGGGGCACAGAGGTATGGTAGATTATCTCTTCATTTACTTACACATGAGGATGTAAAGGTTGTGTATAGTTTAAAAGCAGGCTTTGTCATTTGAAGACTTGTGGTATGTCATTTTTTATACAGTGTTTACCTTGGAAACTGGTTTTGCAGTGTGTGAAGGCACATGCCTGTAATCCCAGAATTTAGGAAGCTGAGGCAGGAAGGATCACCACAAGTTCAAGGCCATCCTGTGCTATGTAGTGAGTTCAAGGCCAGCCTGGAGTACCTAATGAGACCCTGTCCCCAAACAAACCAAAAGAAAAAACGAGTTCCATAGATTCAAGACTGTTATGTTGCCCTGAAAGTAGACATAGTTGTTTATGTTTGAAGAATTTTTCTTTTTTTAGTACTGGAACTCAAGCTCAGGACCTTGCACTTGCCAGGCAGGCACTGTGCTGCTGAGCTATACTCCCAGGCCTGTTTGAAGAATTGTTTACCTGGTGTGGTGGTATAGACCTGTAATCCTAGCACTCAGGAGGCTGAGGCAGGAGGATCCCTGCAAGTCTGAGGCCAACCTATTCTACAGAGTGAGTTCAAGGCCACTTTGAACTATATCATTAGACCCTGTCTCAAATTCCACAAAACAAAACCAAGCAAAAACCAAAACAGAACTTACAAGATGTTTTTAAGAAACTAATTTTTCTTCCCATGGTGGTTACTTAAAATATAGGCATTCCTTAAAGTCAGTCTGTAATCTTTTGAATTTTTTTTTTTGTTGTTGTTGTTGTTCTTGAGATGGCATCTTACTATGTAGTTCAAGCCAGACTTGAACTTGGTATGTAGCTCAAGTTGCCTTCGAACTTGTGATCTTCCTTCCTCAGCTCTCCTTATAGATGTGTGCTGTATGCCCAGCTAAGTTGTATTTCATCTTATTATTTTTAAAATCAATGTACTTTATATTTCTTAGAGCAGTTCTGGGTTTTTGGAAAATTGGACAAGTGCTTTTCTGTACGCATTCTTTCCCACTTTCCATTGTTATTAATATCTTCCACTGGTGCTGTACCTTTGTTACCACTGATGAACCAGTGTTTGCATGCTATTGTTAACTAAGGTTTATAATATACCTTAGGGTTCATTGTGTTGCACAGTTCTGTGCTCTGTAGAAATATATAATGACATGTATATACCAGGGTAGTATCATACAGAACAGTTTCAGCCATACAGAGTCCCTGTGTCCCACAAATTTATCACCACCCTCACATCCCCAGCAGCTACTGTCCTGTGGCTGTCCCCGTAGCTCTACCTCTTGTAGAATATCATGCAGTTGGAATTATGTTATATTTAATCTCAGCCTGGCTTCTTTCAGTTAACTCGATGCATATAAGTATCTTCCGTGTCTTTTTGTGTTTGATAGCTTGTTTCATTTGCTTGTCACATAATATTTCATTTCCATTGTGTAAATACATACATTATATGAAGGCTGAACTGGTTGTTTCCAGTTCTTTTTTTTTTTTTTGAAGGTATAAAACACACACTGCCAGGTGTGGTGGCGCATGCCTATAATCCCAGCACTCGGGAGGCTGAGGCAGGAGGATCATTGTGAGTGTGAGGCCAGACTGGGCTACAAAGTGAGCTCAAGGCCAGCCTGAACTGCGTAGCAAGACCCTGTCTCAAAAAGACCAAAAAAAAAAAAAAAAAAAGAAGGAAAGAAGGAAAGAAAGAAGGAAAAAAAAAAAAAAAAAAAAAAAAAGAAGGAAAACAACCTGAAAAAGAACCACACTTACTTTATAGATTACTTACAATCAAATATTGCCCCTAGCATTACCTCCATCATTAAAAACAAAGAGTATAAGTGCTGGGGATATAGCTCAGTGGCACAGTGCTGAGTTTGAGTCCTGGTATCAAAAACAAAAACAACAACAACAAAAAAGGGTATTTCCTTCATATTGTCAAATGATACATTATATAACAAGTTACAGAACTTAAAATGCACCCTTTATATAAACTGATTTTTTTAAAAAACATAACTGATAATTTGTTTTTTTCTTTATAAAATGGATATTTAAGTATTTCTGCAAAAAATATATTTCTCCTGATAGTCCTAAGGTTGTCATTATGTTATGGGTAGTGCAAAGTGTGGCACATATAGTTTCATCTAGAAAGGTGTGCATTTTACACACCTAATTTAAACAAAATGTGCATAGTCAATGCATGATAGCATGTTTCAAATATAAAGGCAGCTCCTCAGGCCACCGTATTATTTAGGTTTTGCACTGTCACTTATGGTATATACATACCATACTTTTATACATTTAGACCCTGAAGATACGAAAAATAATTGCTGCTCTAAAATATTATTCTAAGTAGCCATTTGGTTTGTAGCAGGAGAAAGCCAGCCTCCTCGCTGTGTCTTCCAAGTCGGACTTATTAGCTGGGCCGATGCATCAGATCTGCGGGATGCTTCACAGTGACTGTTCCCCTGTCCAGGCAGTACCTGTCTCCCGCAGGAAGCCAGACGGTGACACTTCCGGGACTGACTCTTTGTATGTGGTTTCCTCTCCCCCACTTTTTTCTTTTCTTTTCTGGATTAACTGTGTTACTGAATTATTTCCTCTTCTGACCTTTCTACTGGCCTTCCATCCTTTTTTTCCCCCCCACTACTGGGAATCAAACTCATGACCTCGCGCTTACCAGGCAGGTGCTCTGCCGCTGAGCTAAATCCCCAGCCCCTTGACCTTCCCTCCTAATCACTCATAAGTCTTTTCAGAAGGTCCTCTGAGAGCTCCATAGTGGAAGTTTGGGAGACAGGCAATCCAAAGGAGGAAGACTGAATATTGGAATGTCTTTGGCTTTCCCTGTATTTGCTGCAAACTTCTGCCAGGTTGAAGAGGCTGCAGCATTTTGTGAATGTGTTGGCAAGCTCCATATCTCTGATTTTTCTACAAAGTCAGCATCTACATCCAGCTCCTTTTCTACTGAAGCTTTTAGAAGTCGGCCTTTTTGGCCCTTCGCTGTTTGTTTTTGTTCCTCAATCTTTCATTCTCGGCCACAAGGAACTCCACATCTTTTCAAATCTGAAATTTTGGTTGCCTGCTGCCCTCTAATTGTTCTGTCATCTTTTGGGACTTTGCTTCTCATACATGGCTCTGACTCTTGCTGAAGTAAATATACTGTGGTAGCGTGCGTGGACCCCTGTCAAAACCCTGAATTCTAGGGGCTGGGGATTTAGCTCAGCGGCAAAGCGCCTGCCTGGCAAGTGCAAGGTCGTGAGTTCGGTTCCTGGTACCAGAGAAAAACCAAAAAAAAAAAAAAAAAAAAAAAAAAAAAAAAAAAAAAAAAAAAAAAAAAAAAAAAAAAAAAAAAAAAAAAAAAAAAAAAACAACAAAAAAACCCTGAATTCTAGCTAGGTGTTTCTCTGTGGAAGGGCTGTGCTTCTGAGCAAGAAGGGGGTTCTGCCCTTTGATCCCCTGCAGAGGGCTTGTGAGACGCCCCGAGACGGGCAGCGGTGTCCCTGTCTGTGTTCTCCTGGGCCCTCAATCGCTCCACATGCTTTGTCTTCTCCCACCGCGCCTGGAGGAGGAGGAGCTGTTCCATGCGGCTGATCCTCCGCAATTCCAGGGACAAGCGAGCCTGCTCACACCGTGCCAGCGGCGTGCCTTCACAGACCTTCCCTCCCTGCAAGGATGGGACCCGAGGCCTCGCACTTAGGAAAGTGCTGTCCGCCTTGTCCACATCCTGTTACTGTATTTCCATTTTCTGGGACATTGCCTGATCGTGTTAAGGGCCCAGTAAACGCTGAATGGATCCAATCTATGCTTACTTGCTTTATTACACTTATGCTCTTGACTTCTGGATTATTTCTAACTCTTCTGACTTGAATTCTCTACTGCTGGGTGGCTTTCTCCACCTGGATGCTTTGTGGGTACCTGAAATTCACCTCATCTGAGGTGGGTGTTTTACTTTCCTTTCCCCGGGTGAGCCATTGGGCTTTTTCTCTCAGAGTGTGATGTTACCATCCCTTCAGATACAACGACTCATTACTTCACAGCTCAACTTTCATAGTTTCGATCTTCTTGTATCTCTGTCTTATATGCGTCTCCTGTAAGAACCATAGAACTGATATACAAAATAATTTGGTCTGGTAATTACTGTTATTTTTGAAAACACTGCTGGAGATAGTCCCAAGGGCTGCATGCCTGCCAAGCCCGTGCTCTACTGCTGAGCACACCCCATCCTGGCTGATAATTTTTTCCTTTGTCTTGAGGTGCTCAGACAATTTTTGTGTTTTTTAAAAACTTGAATATTCTATCCATTTATACTTGTTTAATTATTGATATATCCCCATTTATTTCTTAATTTTATTTATTGCATTTGTTTTTGTGTTTTCTTTCCTTTTTTAAATTGACTCTGTGTGTGTGTGTGTGTGTGTGTGTGTGTGTGTTGGGGATTGAACTTAGGATCTTGCACATGCTAAGCACATGTACCAGTGAGCTATATTTTTAACTTTGGACTGAATTTTTTTTCTCAATACTGGAATTGAGCCCAGGGGCTCTGTAACACTGAGCTACATCCCTAGCCCTTTAATTTTTATTTTTGTTTTGAGAAAGGGTCTTACTAAGTTACCCAGGCATGACTCAAATTTATGATTCTCGTAGGATTACAGACACCCAGTCATATTGAATTTTTTATTCTACTTTTTCTATTACTACATTGAAAAGACTATATGCTATTTTCATTTCTTTAGTAGCTCCTTTAGCAACTGTAAAGCTGGGCACACACCTGTGATTCCAGGACTTGGGAGGCCGAGGCAGGAGAATCACTGCAAGTTCGAGGCCAGCCTGGGCTACATAGTGAACTCAAGGTCAGCCTGAACTACACAGCAAGACCTGTCTCAAAAATCTTATGAGAAAGTAGTGTCTTTGTCCTTCTCATGGGTAATATAGGCCCTCAAAACAACTGAATTTCTTCTTTCTTTTCAGAACAATTGAAGTCCTATCTTTTTTTCTGAAATACATGCTATGGCTGTTGTGTAT